CGTACAATATTTTTTTTTTACTTTTTAGAGTTTTCTTTTTTTATTCTGTACAGCATGTGTGGGGTTTTCTCTTTATAAATAAATGTTAATGTAATTATAGTTCTGTAAGATTGCTCTGTTATAAAGCTTTTTTTTAAGCCTTGGATTTTACAGTGAAATACGACTGAGTTCCACATTAGCTAGCTTTTACTTTTTTTGTTTTCTTCAGATGTTTTTATTTTTATGTTTTAAGGGATTGGCAAGTGGGGAGACCTTTTTTTATATATACAGTAAATTTAGGCACGGTAGCTTTGTAGAAGAAAGTAACTTGTGTTTAAAACTGCTGGAGAGGAGGAAAGAGGAGCAGAGCCCCTCACTGCCACATTGCAGTGTGCTCCAGGTAACTAGGTGAGGCTTCTCAGACCTGCAGCCACTGGAGAGGAAATTGGTCCACTCACTGTGTGCTTTACCCCCATAGGCACTGTCCAATCCTGGTCCTGGAGGGACCCCAGTGCAGTCTCTTTCAATTGCCTTAAGCACTGGGGAGCAGCGTTAAAGCAGTCCAGTCAAGCCAGTACCTGCAACTGCGCAACCTGCAGAGACTGTGCCCCTCCAGCCCTGCTCCTAGATGTTGATGTTCCAAACTCCAGTTGTCATAACACTGAAATTGGCCCCTCTTTTAGTGTTTTGGTGGTAGCAGCGATTAGAACATGAGATCGCTAAGAGGCTCGTGGATTCAGATTCGGTTTTCTCCTTGATTTAAGACTGTTTCCTCCAGGTGTTCTAGTCCACCTGCTGCACAGATTGTAGAGAGTTAACTTAGAGTGGACAGCTGTCCCATCCAGGGGACGTCTTGTGTTGTGTCTCATTAACGCAACAGAAAAATACATGAGCTCAGGCTGCAAGAGTCACTGAAGCTTGTGAAGCATGTTAGTGTTTTAGTCAGTGTTGTAGATCTTTCATGCTGACACCCATTATGCTTTTCTTTTGGAGTCTTCAGATTCACAGAGCAGTGCGACACCTGTACACAGTTATGAAAGACACGGTGCACTAAATAGGAATGTGCACTCAGTTTTGTGAAAGAAAGCTGTAATGAGCAATTTTAAGGTTGAGCATATGCCTTGAATGTATAAGCTTGTTAGGTGGTTTTTCCAGGTTGTTCCATGCCGAGTTCTCCCCCAGTTGTGTGCTTTGGCTGTTGCTGGGACTGTCTCACACAGTGGTTCCCAGTGCTCAGTCTGACACAGCCCTGCTCTGAGCTCCACAGCTTCTTTGGTTACCTTACGGTACATCCGTTTCTTCAGTCTGACTGGGCCTTCGGTTTGCTACGGCAAACCGTAGATCATGTTCTTTCTCCATACTGTCAAGGGCATTGGAGGTTTTGTCCAGAATATGGCCAACGCTGGTTGTAGTTCTTGTGAAAGAAATGCTCTCTGGGCAGCTGTAGTAGGTTTCCGTTCTGGGGTGTTTGCTGGGGAGTCAGGCTGCAGAGGCTTGAGTCTGCGTCTTGTCCACTGCCGAACGGTGCCGTGCAGTACTGTCTCTCGTTAGATTGGCTCAGGCCAACAGTCTGCACGGCTTGTCTCAATGTGGGCACCAGATTTTCTGCAGACTTGCCCCCTCTTTTACCTGCCATCCGTGTTAAAATAGGTTTGTTTCTTTCATCTTCTAACCATGTACGATGTGGGGGAGAAAAAAAACTTCAGTAAGAAGTTGCCGCTCATAGTAGTTGCTGGGTAAGGAGGTTGGAGTTGTTTTGCTAATTTTCAGGCAGAAGCACAGCTGCCAGTGAAAGTGTTAGCGTTTTGAGGTTGGCGTAGACTCCCAAGTGTCATGTCATGTCTGCCACGGTGCTTCACAGTTGCTAGCAAGGGTTGATGGCATTGTTACTTAGCATTTTTGCTGAAATGCTGTATTTTTTTTAAGTATAAGTTGAGCCAGAGCCTTGCCCAGTTCTTATCACTGTATGAGCTGTTTTTCTAGAGTAAATCCTATATTTCATGGGAAAGAGTATTTCAGATTTTTGTACTGTTAAACACAGTCCACTTCTTTTTTTCAGATTGTTAGCTTGAGGGGGAAAAAATAGTCCTGAAACAATGTCTGTGATTTTAACATCAAGCTTTCACGTTCTAGTTGAGTAGTAAAATTTGGCCAGCGAGTGAATCATTCCTTCAGTGACCAAAATGGGAATCCATTCGGAAGTCATCAGGCTGACAGCAGCCCTGTGTAGTATCAGTGTGTGGGTAGTTGTGTAAATTGTCTGCATGTGTTTGGCGCACACTAAACTCTCCGTGTTTTCACTGAGATGCTTTCCGTTAATCTTTTCAAGCTGAATTGTTACACTGAGTCATTACCTTAATCTGCTAAAACTGAATTTTTGGGCCACAAAGTTATTGTTTCTTGAGGATTTTGTTTGCATTTATCTCTGCGAGGCTGAAGCTTTAGGTCTCCACTCTGCAACTCGGGCTGACTGAATCTTTTTTTTCCTTCAAGTGAATCGTCAGTGAGCAAGGAAAGCCCACAAAAGATACACAGTTCAGCTGTTCACAGGTCCCCAAGAGCCCAGGCGCTGGGAAATGGAAGCTGCCCCAGTGGCCAAACTGCTTGCTAGCCAGATGTGATTGTGTGTAACAATCCTTGCATTAAGGATGCTGTGTTCCCAGAATGCAGTTGGGATGCCAGGATGTAGTCTTCCTTCTTGCAGTCTTCATCACAGCTGCAGCTGTTCCCAAGATTAACTCCAGACAGGCTTATCTCTTTTGGAGAGCTCATCTGCTGACACTTTAGCATGAGCCTTCGGTCTGGACGGGTCCCACTTCTCAAACATTGTTCACTGCCTGACCCTCATAATGATATTACCACCTGCCTCTCCTTGCTGTGTAATCTTGAGAACTAAAGGATTCCCACCTCTGATCCTCCGGTACAGATCATTAGAGAGATCTGCACTCAAAACTGCCAAGAAAAAGCAAAAGCACTCATCTGGTAATCGATTATGGGAATATTGCACCTGCTGGGTGCAGGGGACTCTAAAGTGTATTCCATGGGTTCTGCTAACTGATGATGTTTCTATTGTGGAAAAAGAACGTGGCTAAATGCATGTGGTGCACCTGCCAGTGTTTGTACATATACAGTACACCTGCTCCTACCTGAGAACACTACTGTGGAGATCGAGGGGTGTTTTTGTACTCTTTTACTTTGTTTTATGTTAGTTTTTTGGCCAGGAAAAAGCGCTCGGTCTGGAGATCCCAAAGAAGAATGCATGTCCCACTCGCTCTGTCATTCCTCCTCATCTTGGACTGTGGGCCGTTGCTGCGAATTGCACTGAAGAACTAATTTTAAAAGATCTGGACTTTCTTTTTTTTTTGTAAATGGGTTGTAACAATGTAAATTCACCAAATAAAAACATGTTAACCAATTTAAGTGCAATTTTATTCATGTTGGTCGGGCATAAAGATATGATGGTACCTCATGTGATGGCAGAAGCCAGTTGAGGCTGAACCTGGTGGGTCCTGGTGGGGTAGGAGACCTAGAAGAGAAACTGCTGCTGTAAGTGGTGTTGGTGGACCAGTAGGTGGTGATCTCCCCTCTGGTCCAAACTTTCCAGACAAGTGCTCCACTATGTTAACGGGATAATGTGTTATAGGAATGACTGTTCTCCATTAAACTGGTCCCAACTGCTTAGCATTTACAAGTCTTATGTGACTGTAGGAATAGCACTGTTAACTGTGGTGTCCTGCTTAAATCCCGTTCTGGTTTTTGCAGTCTGGCCTACCTGAAACTCCCAACCTCCTTCAACTGGTGAGGCAGTTTCTTACTTCTCTATCCGATCTGCTGTGCAGTGAGGCTGCTGGCTCACAAAAAATGCCATCAAGGTGGTTATACACATATGATAAAAACAATAAGTTCTGGGCCTTAGCCACCACCTGACAAATTCAAATGTTCCGTCACACACCAAGCTTTCAAAATTCACTTGGTAAGTGAATTTGTTTACACAGAAATATCTTCGTCTCTGTAAATGTAAAATTAACCAAATTATATATTTTTTAGAACATCAGGAGGGATGATCACTGGCCCATCTCTGTTTCCCCAGTGCAAGTCAGCTGAATGCTGCTTATTTAAGGCACTAACCAAGAGATCAGGACACTTTGCTGTCATGTAACCCCAGAATTTGCAAAGACTTGCAAGTACTCCTGGACGTCCCCATTCTCTTTATCATTAGATTCCTTTCTACAGAATATCCACACCTTGGAGTGGATCACCAATATCAACTTTGCTTTTCAGTTTGCCATTTGTATTAAGATAAAATCAAGCCATTTTCTAACCAATTCATCCATTTCAGGGTTGCTGGGGAGCCAGAGGCTGTCCCAGCCAGCAATGGGCACAAGGCAGGACACATCCTGGACGGGGCAACACTCTATCGCACGACGCGTATTGACACAAAAACAGACAAGCACACACTTGCACAGAAGGCCAGATAATCTACTGGTATGCTTTTGGACTGTGGAAGGAAACCAGAGCACCTGGAGGAAACCCACACAAGCTTTACAGGGATGGCACCCAAGGGCTGGAATTGAACCCGGGTCCCCAGAGCTGCAAGGTGTTAACTTGAAACCTGCAGTTACATTTTCTATATAACAGATGTAGATACTGTATTATCTCTATGAATAGTGATGTTTGTAACTTTTCATACAACAAACACAGTAAACTTAAATACCGTGCTACTGTTATAGCTGAGTAAAAGCAATAGTTTGTACATATTGTTTATGCATGGTTGTTGTTGAATAACCGTTGCATACAGAAGACAGCAATGTAGCATTTTACGTCTGGGACTAGGACGCTATTATGGGAATAGTATATTATTATGAGGAATAGCTATTTTGGAGGGCAATCAAATTACTCATAAAACGGCAACAAGTGTCATTGTTTGGCCACATTTTTGCGGCAGTGTCAGTCTCTTGACAGGGCAAATACGAGAGGTTTACTTCACGACAGGAGGCTGCTGTTTACGGCAGGCTTGACGTGGACTGCAACTGCAATGGCGGAGGCTGGCGAGGCTGTGCTCCAGGGCGGCTGGTAAGAGAGCAGCTATAGGCGGCTGGGGGGTCCTTTTTTGCGGGGAAACATGGCCCTGAGAACGGGGGTGGAACTGTCTCTCTCACGGAGAGGGGATAGTGCTTGTCGGGGTGCCCGTGCAATGGAGCGGGGTGTCACACATTCCAGTTCCCTTTCCGGGCGCAGTGGAGAGAAAGACTTTCGTGGAGCTGCGTACGGACATCTCCCAAAACCATCCAGGGGGGCTGAAAGATTAAGCCTCCCGTCGCGGCTGTAGCCGAAACTCTCTTTCCTCCTTGCGGCCGGGGCCATCGGAGCCGCAGGTCTGTGGGGCTGTCCGGTCGCGGGGTCTGGTTTTCTGACCATTTCGGATCGAGAGCATCTCCGTAAGGCGCATCGCCATAATTATAACAACAGCCAGGACAGCCATATATTAGACTACAGCGCACATGTGGACACCCGCTGACTCTTCATCCCCTCATTATTGTCTCGAAACGAGTGGAAAGGGTACAGCCTGCGAACGCGGCGTTGGCTATCTTAACTCGCAGGCTCATCGTGAGCTGCTGGTGAGCTGAAATACTTTTTTCAACAACAGATCTGACTCTTATGGACCTATCATCGGTTTAGCGGGTGTCCCGTTTTTTCCATGTACCCCGTTATTTCTCTGGGACGGTCTTCATTTGTCTCTCCCTGCTCTCCGGTGTCACTTCCCCTTTCCGAGAGAGAGCGGAGTGCGATTCTTTCTTGTTTCTTCTAGGCTGCTTGAATGCCCGTTGTATTATCATTATCCAATTAGATTATAAACAGATCTACTTCTTTCTGTCGCCGTAATCTCATGATCATGTAACAGTGCAGCGCCCTGGAGAGAGGCAGCGGGTGGTTTTCTCACGAATGATCTGTGGGAATCGACCTCGAAGCTCCCGAGAAAAAAAAAGTCCCCCCCCCCGGCTGATCTCAATCACAGGACGTTTCCCTGCGGTGCTGACACGACTCTTTGCACGACAAAAACATCTCTTTTCTGTGCAGTTTAGCCATTATCGATAACGGTGTGCCGTGTTGCGCGTCACACTTCTCACTTCCTGCTTTAATGGAAAAAAAAACCAAACGTGACCATTGTTTATTCGCGTCACGCCGCAAATGTCTCCACCGGGATGGGAAAGTACAGATGTTCACCTCCACCCCAGGCTGTAAGCTTGTTTAGGTCTAAAAGGTGGTGTTAGTAAAGCAGAGGGCGTGGATTGCTCTAGTGTGGTGACCTGATACTGTGGTGGAAGGCAGTGCGAGTGTGGTGTGGGTTTGTTTGTGGCTGGGGGATTATTATGGGAATGGAAAGATTTGACTGCGATAAAACTAGTGTGGACAAAGCATTGTAAGGAGTGGGAGATCGTTAATATTTAAATTGAGATTATTTAACCTCATGTGACAGAAGTAACAAGCAGATTGTATTCCGACTCTAGAGTCTATTAATGTTGATGATGGTAAACCTGTTGGCTACAGCGCTGTGTTTTTCTGGTATCGGCCCAAAAGGGCAGTGAGGCTGGCTTACACAGCATAGGAGCTGAATCTCTTTAGTTGTCGACAGTGGAGGCGACAGGAAAGATGCGACGCAAATCTGTGAAATCCGGAATGGGATGAACATCCCAGAGGACTGCTTCAGGGCCAGCTGTCCTCCTGAAGACATCTCCGGCACTGACGCTGGTGTCGAATTGTTTTTCGAGCCGTAACGCTACCAGGTCACGCGAGGGTGTGCTGCGATGTGAGATGTGCTGTCATGGGGCTGCGGGGGTGCATTCCTGAGGTGCCTAGATGGTGATAAGAAGCATGACATTCTTCCAAACCACGTGCCCCCGGCGAGGAGCTGCCTGACGACGGGATGTGCGCTTGAGCAAGGAACGTCCTGATCTCTTTAACGAAAGCTGGGGAAGCCATCTTTCCAAACGTGTCGGAGCTCGTGTTTGCATTGCAAAAGATCTGAACCTGCTCGACGTATTGCGTGGTCACAGTTAAACGCGCAGGAGAGTTCTCAAAGGGTTTTGTTTGTTTTCTGGTAGCTGCGGTGTCTTCAGCATCCTGAAGGGAGCTTATTGGTGCTGTGAGGGAAGCTGGTTAATGAACAGCTATAGAATAATCTATATAGAGAGCCCCTCTCTGCCAGGCGGCTGTGCACTGTTATTCCAGCCGGAAGCACTGAGCCTCTGAATGAAGGCGACTCTGCTGGAACCAGGCGGCGACAGGGCCGTGGGTGGCTGTGATCCGTGGCCTGCAGATCCTTCCCCGTTTCAAAGCGGTGCGATTCTGCGAAGTAACGCTAACCCCCAGCGACCTCACAACTCTGAAAAAGGGCACTGGCTGCTTCCGTGTGCGTCCGACGTGTTTCTTGGGCGGCTCTAAAATAACAAGCAGAACCCTTCCCAAATTGATTTCCGCTGCTGGCATTCGGCCGTGATGAGATGGTGATTTGCCGCCTTTTTGAGCCCCCCGGCACCACTGTATGGTGATGAATCTGCATTTGCTATTTATGAAAGTGTGATTTATTCGGTATCAAGCATGTGGTGTGCTTATATTGAGTGTTCACATAGTACTTAACAAGGAAGGAGGATCCAAGATCAAACTTGTTAGTGGGGCCAGCAGGGGGCGCTCACCCTGTGGTCCGTGTGGGTCCTAATGCCCCAGTATAGTGACGTGGACACTATACTGTAAACAGGCGCGTCCTTCGCATGAGACGTAAAACCGAGGTCCTGACTCTCTGTGGTCATTAAAAATCCCAGGGCGCTTCTCGAAAAGAGTAGGGGTGTAACCCCGGTGTCCTGGCCAAATTTCCAATTGGCCCTTACCAATTACGGCCTCCTAATAATCCCCATCTATGTATTGGCTTCATTATTCTGCTCTCCTCCCCACTGATAGCTGATGTGTGGTGAATGGGCCCTGTAACTGAAGGAATTGCTGGTGCATGTCTCTTCCTGGGGGTATAAGAGGCTGGTATCTTGGTTTGGAAGGCTGCATTGCACAGACTGATTTTTGTGAACTGGGTTGCGGGGGCAGCTGGAGCCTATTCCAGCAAGCAGCGGGCACATGGCAGGGTACCACCTGGACGAGACACCAGTCCATTGCAGGGTACACCCAGAAACGCACACACACCAGGGTCAGTTTTCCCCCCAAAAAATGTTGAACCTACCAGTGTGTCTTTGGACTGTGTGAGGAAGCCAGAGCAACCAGAGGAAACCCATGCTAACACATGGAGAACATGCAAACTCCACACAGATAGCACCTCAGTGTGGAATTGAACCCGGGGCTGTAGGGCTTCAAGGCAGCAGTGCTAACCACTGTATCACCATTGCTCAACCCTTTCACCTGAAATGTTCTGAATTGCGATTCTGTCAAGTTTGTATTTGTTTCACCTCGATCTCTCCTTTAATTTCTTGAATAGGTTTTGTTTATGTATTTACTTATTTTTATTTATCGTGTTTGTCTTTTGTTTTATAACTATTCTGATGTCTGTTTTGCTTGTCTTGGGCTGGACTGCTGTAACACATCAATTTCCCTACGGGATTAATAAAGTATTATCTATCTAAACTGTGATTGCAGACAGATGGACAGGAAGTGTATCAGAGCGAAATATAAGGACCTAGAAAATCAAGTCTTACAGTGCTGAGATAGTAGGTTTTCTCTCTCTGGACAGAGAGACCAAGAGGAGCTGGACTCCATGTTTTTCAATGCTTGAAACAATTGCTCGGGGTTAGAAATAATGTACCTGGGAGTCTATGCATGGACTTAGCTTTGCAGCTTTCAGGCTGACCCAGTTATAATTTTTGATCAGTTGATCATTTTTGAAAACCAGGTTTGTAACAGAAAAATCCTGATGCTGTGATGGGTGGAAGAGAGAAAAACCTTCCGCCTCTCCAGACCATGACAGTCAGCAGCTTTAGATTTCAGAATAAACTTGAGGTGGCAGTGGGTAAACCACAGCTGAGCAGCTCGCTTTAAAAGCAAAGAACAAAGGTGTATGAAATTCTTTGGAAGGTGACTGGTACACGTGATGTTTGGCACAGTTTTGCCTGTAATTATTACCACCAGATCTGTAAATGAGACTGTGACAATTCATGTTTTTTCCCTGCACCGGTGCGTGAGTTTCTCCTGTTTCTTCTCTGGCAGGGATGGTAAATTTAATACAGTATTAGTTGTGGATAAACCTCAGGAACGTTCAATTTGAAATGCTCCTGGAGAGCGCTGTCCCCAGCGACTGAGGGCTCCTGGATGTGGGGGCCCCACCGAGTACCAGCTGCCCTGGTCTCTGCGGTGGGTGGGCTACAGAGGTGCCCGTCGATGCCCGTCTTGGGTGTGCCCTGGGATCTCTCAAGCCTCGTGGCGCTGGCAGGCGTTTGGGGGCTGGCGGGCCTCTTCAGTGTCTACAGTGGCGGTCACCTCGCTGCCACTACTCTCCGGGCACTCATGCTGGGCCAGCTGCAGATTGTCCTGATAGTGACGCTGGGAAGTTTTGACGAGCCCTGAAACACTGAAAAAGTCACGCAGAAATCTCAGCTGTTAACATTAAGCTTGTAATATTGAAGTCCATTTCTTGTTCCTGTTTGACGTGTATCGAGTAATGGGAAGGAAGAAATGCAGGGTTGTGAATCTTGAGAAGATGGCGAGATCTCACTAGGATTCCAGAGTACTGTTGTAGGAATAACTGGGACAGTTGTTTTCCCTTTGTGTTTGTAGTGATCATAGCAGAAGACTTGAAAACTGCAAGATTATCACTGTTTTCAGAGGGCTGAATGCATAAAGTTCATAAAGTGCTTCCTGCACGACCACACTCAGCTAAGTCCTGTTCCCTCCCAGAGAGAAGGCTTTGCAGAGGAGAGCGGTGTAAATCCCTGAGAATGCTAGTCCATCAGGGATGGGCAGCTCTTTGAGCTGCAAGTTTTCTGGCTTTTTAATTTGCAACGAAAGCATAAGAACATGTGATTGGACTTGTCCAAATAATCAGTTCGATTCAGTAATTTAGTCTGGAACTGGAATGAAAACTACATGTCCCTGTGACCCACGAAGGAGGTGGACTTGCCCGTCTCTGAATCCTGGATAGGATTCAGTTCATTCCAGTTCAGTTTATGTGTCAAATGCACAAGTGCAATGAAACGCTTATTTGCATGTATGCTCCCGTACAAAGACATTAAGGAATCACGCACAAGAACAGCAGCAACAACAACAACGACGAGTTAAATAAATACAACTTTAAAAAGCTAGTCAGCACACGCAGTGTGAGAAGAGAAAAAAACATATCAGTGTGAGTAGTAATGTACAGTAGGTGTAGTAATGTAGATACGTTTACTCAGTGGCAGGGGTAGAGGTCAGTAATCTGACAGCATGTGGAAAGAAACTGTCTCTCAGTTTGGAGGTTCGTGTCTTTATGCTCCTATAACGCTTACCAGAGGGAAGAGGAGAGAAAAGTGAGAAACCAGGATGATTGTTGTAAAAATATCCACAACAGAAGGGAGCAGTACTCCAGTGATGGACTGGGCTGATCTGATTACCCCCATATTTATGTGGAGTCTGAGATGAGTTATTAAGCGCAGTTTTCTCAGCAGGACGGGCAGTGCTGATATGGGCGTCCTCTTGGCTCACTTCCTGTGGTGAGCTGGCGGCCCGGGTCTGTCTGTTCAAAGTATGAAGGTGCTGCAGAGGCCGGAGACGACGGGGACTTCGACCTCTTTCCTCCTCTCCGGGAGCTGGGATTTTGCACTTTGTCTAGTATCTGTTCCTCCCAGCTGTGGGGCAATACCTTGTGTCAAAAATATCACTGCCAAATGGTCTGCCATGACGCCACGCATATTGTTTCTTCCTTTTTGTAAGAAACAGGCCTGTTTACAACATGTTGAAGTGGCTATCAAAAGTATACACCCCCCTTTGGACCTTTTTACTTTTTAATTGTTTTAATATGGAATCGTAATTAATTTAATGGAGAGCTTTTGCCATTGACTGATAGAAAACATGAAGTGTCAGAGGTTGAAAAGAAATTCTACAAAATTCGGCTCTCTAACCCTGTCCCAGATTTACTTTGAAAGTCCTTTTGTCTTCATGATGTTTTTGTTGGGAGCTGTACTAATCAACTGTGGGACCTCCCAGAGATGGGTATATTGATCGTGAGCTCACGTGAAACACCCTAATTGCACACAGGTTTACGCCATTCTACAAATGGTGTGACTTCCAAAGACATTTGTTTGCGCCGGAGCCTATTTAGGTGTGTCATAGTAAAAGGGGGTGAGTACTTATGCAATCAGTTATTTTCTGTTTTCAATCCGAGTGTTTTGTGTTGATCAAGAGCAGTAAATTCCAGTTAAATACATTGTGATTCTATATTGTAACACAGTCAAATTTAAAAGTCCATAGGGGGTGAATACTTTTGACAGCCGCTGTATTTATTCTGGCAGAATGAAGGTGTGAGTCTGGGGAATCGGCTGTGAGGGATCTGAACCTGGCAAGTCTGGCGCGTTTTCTTTCCGCACTTAATAGGCAGTTTGACGTTGACCGGGTTGTGTTAAATGTGGGACTGGGATGAGGCGCTCTGTACCCGTTCCTGTTCAGTTTCATGTTGTTGTTACCGGAGCTGACAGGAATTGTTGTCAATGGGATTGAGGATCCAATATTTTTAAAAAGAGAAGTTCAAAAGGCATTTGGAATTGGAAAAACTGGGAGTGGGCCTCAGGCTTCAGGGATACGCGAATGATGGTGGTGAGGACCGGTTCCGTGACGACCCTGTGTTTCCCTCTCTGCCCTCTTTCAGGGACCGGGAGCTGGCGGAGGCTCTGGACTCTGGCGGCTGCGACCTGGAGACAGTGAGGAACATCATCCAGGGCCGAGAGCTTCCCACCACACAGAGGGCCAAGATCTGGAAGGTGAGCAGTGGGCTGACTGGAGAGGGCGCAAAACCAGACAGCAAAACTATTTATACCAGCGCTGGCTAAATATGCTTTTTGTGGGCTGGACTGCTCTTTACAGTAGGGTAAGTGAGAGAGGGTAAATATACCAACAGCAGCCAACTCAATAGCCAATCAAAATCCATCATGTTGGTGAGTGCAGGGCGGCTACCCAGAATCCTCTGCTTCCTGAGGGATTCATCTCTGGCATTGACTTTATACAGACAACATGTGGGCCTAGTCTGAAGAACACACTAGACGTTATTTATGGTTTAGTAATTTTGTAGGCCTATGTCTGCTTTTCTACTTTTTTTTAAAATGTGACCATTAAAAAAAGCTCCTAGACATCTGCCAGGGTCTGCCATCAGCACGGCACAAAGCCATCCGACTGGCCCATCTCATTAATAATAATAGGGGATTGGAATCAGTCATAAAATAGGAGCATGTTTTTAGACACTCATTTCTTGATTGCCAGACATTTTATCGTAGTTGAAATGTAATCGTTGTGGCACAACATTAAGGGGAAACAGCTCAATGTATGTTCTTCCCTGAGCATTTTCAGGCTACCTTGAGCAGCACCCTCACCCATATTTATCCATTTAGTGGTTCTATTATCCTCCTTAGTGTGAGGTGTGAGCAAGAGTGAACCTTTGTATTTTACAATATCGAATGACGTTCGTTCATTGCAGCTTGTGAATGAATGGCAGTGACCCACAGGCGTTCTATACCAGAGTTCTCTTCTATAGCTCATGCAGGCGAAGCTATGTTTGTTTACTTTACAGATGCACTTACCCTTATCCACCCTATTGTGTAGATTACACTAATAACTTAAAGTGGGGGTATTAATTGTGACCTGCTAAGAGAGTAACAGGTTCCTAGAGTAACTTGGTAATTAGGATCTTAGATAGGAGGGTTATGTGTATCATGTTGAATATGAGTTCACATTTGAGTCTTTGGGCCCCGGTGCGTCTTTGTATATGTCATCTATTAATAAAGCATTTTTTTTTTATTTTGAACTGCCAGGAGAAATAATGAAAATGCACTGTCCTTGTATTTTCTTTGGCTGTCCTGTTTGGCGCTGGGTTGCGCTTTATATAGCTGTGCTTGAAAATGCTTTCGTTTTGCCAAGCCCTGTCTCCTGTCAGCTGACAGGATTGAAGAGTGTGGTGTTGCTCTGTTGCGATCCTGCAGTCATATCTTTTTTCTCTTGGGGAGAGCAAAGCCTACCTTTGTTGCATGGACTATGAAGACCGAGCAGTAACTCTGCAGTTGTGCATCCCTCTTTCTGCTGTTCCTCATAGCAGGCAGCGGACCTCACAGAGAGACATTCTCAGCCCGTGGCTCTGTCTACAGAAGCAGGCAGCTCCCTGTGTGGAGTCTCTATTAGAGTCCTGTTTCCACAGACCTGCAGTTCCTGTCTCTGCATTCCCAGAAAGCGAAAGACTAACACACAGCGATGGGATGGTTTGTAGTTTCAGATCATCCGTTATTAGTCACCCGGGCTCTGACTTACTGTACGTTGTGCTACACTGGTTCTTGAATCTGAAGCTCTGGTTTGTCAAAGGTGTGATTTTGAAACTCAAGCCCAGGAGCCCCGACCCGTTTTCACTATGGGAATTCCGGGACTGGAAGTGGAAAATCTCAGGTCAGGGGCACATGGAGGGTGAGACCCGTGTGCAGGTGGCTTAATCACATCCTTAAGGAGCAGGGTGATTCTGCAGGCTGTGTGGATTTGAAATACAGTATATACCATGTGAATGCAATATATTAACATAATAGAAGGTTGAGCAATATTTTTTTTTAAATTAAAATGTTAAGAAGGGAAATGTGTGGCAAGAGAAGAAGGAACTGTTCCTTCCATGTAAATAACTGTATAAAATTGGACTGAGCAAATGACTCAGTGGTCTGGCTGCAGGGCAGCTCATCAGCAAGGTTGGTATTGGGAAATCTGCCTTTCGCCGTGAACTCCTGGGGTGTAAGTCCTTTTGAAATGTGAGATCAACTCATGCTTTGATTTTGTTGCCAGTTGTTTTTGCTTAAACTGGATTAAACAGACATTTTCACTGCCATCTGAAACTGTGCAATAATGTGTGGAATTACAAATAAACGGCGTGTGCATTAGTCCCGATTAGAGTACTTTTTCCTTATTCATCTTCTAAATAATCATCATCAGAAATCAGTAAATCAATCCAGTTATCAGTGACTTATCGGGGTTTACTTTGTCAGGAGAAATAGTACCTCTTTTCTATATGAATTGGAAGTAATCACAGTATTTCAGTTCCCAGCACCCCCAGACCCATTGTTTGATTATGAGGTTATTCTGTCTGTGGTTCACACTCTCTTCTTGTGCCTGGTCAGATCGCACTGAATGTGGCGGGGAAGGGAGACAGCCTGGCCTCATGGGATGGCTCACTAGACCTGCCCGAGCAGACTCTCATTCACAACAGGTGCCAGCAGCTGATCGGTGAGTTTTCTCTTCGTCAGGCTGGGTGCTCATCAGGGCCTTGGGGTGAGCAGTGCTGTATCTCGCCCTTGGAGACTGTTACTGTGCAGTAAAGTTTTAAAAGCACTTAACTGTTTAGTTAAGAACAGCTCAATCCTGGAAATGTACAGTTCAGCGCAAAGTTCTTTCAGATGTTCCATATACAAAGTAACTTTAACAACATGAAACATAAATAAACCAAGCACCTAGCTTTGGTGTTTTATCTTAGCCTAACATTATATACCCCTGGGACCCACATTAAGCTCTGCCAACAATTGGTGCTGAAAATATGCAAAAACTCAGAAAGTCTGAAAGGACGTTTTTTCAAGGAACTGTATAGAACAGGGCACCCAGTTCATCCACCCACTGCAGTGCAGGTCCCTCCTGGGTACTGAGCCGAGGGGTACTGCGCCAGCAGCCTCACGACCACAGCAGAGCAGGTGGAAGAGCGAGAGACAACTTCATCTGAGTTAAGGCAGAAATTTAGGGAGGCCAGGCTGCAACCTCAGAGTGCAGTGCGCCAGAACACAAAGTTTGTTTATGAAAGCAGAATTATATTCTACTCTATTTAACGCCGCATGTACAAAAGTTCTTTTTCATGGTATACCCTGATCATTTGTCTTGACCAAACAAGTAACCATTAAATCTCGTTGGATACATGCTCTTGGATCAACGGAAGCTTTTTGACTGAGAGATGGGAATGCCCTAAATACATGTATCCGCGCTGTTCTCTTGGGATGTGTACAGTACAAAAGACAACGCTTTCGCTTAATGTGCACAGTACAGACCAGTACAATAAATAGTAATAACTGACTGTTAGTCTGTGCTCAGTGGATGGTTCTGTGGAGTCAGGAAATCTGCTTTCAGCAGTACAAAAGACAACACTTTCACCCAATGTGCACAGTACAGACCAGAACGATTAAATAATAATACCTGTTAGTCTGTGCTCAGTGGAGGGTTCTGTGCAGTCGGGAATTCTGCTCCGTCTCTGCTTTGCTCAGTGTGACGGCGGTGATGGAGGGAGATGCTGGCGGGGGAGTGAGAGGAGAGGCATTGAGCCCTGATGCACCGATACCAGGGCCTCTGTGGCAGCAGGCCAGACCGCTGTCACTTGACATTGCCAGCCCAACGCCAGGGGAGTGTAGATCACAAGGCCAAAATGTGCAATTCCGTGCATAAGAGACTTAAATGCAGATCCGTCCTTGATGGAAATGAGCCTCTATGTCCCAGAGAGGCAGCAGCATTGCCCCAGCAACCAGCAACTGTTACGACCTTAAAAATATGGTTAGGGTTTGACCAAAAGCCGCAACATCAAAAGAACACTCAAGAGATCGGATTCCCCTGGGAAAACAGATCAATTTTATTATCATCGCAGATCCAGGGAACCAGAAGTCGACGTTTGTATTCAAATCGGGAGGGGGAAGTAAAAGAAAAAGAAAAACCCCAAGCAAAGCTAACTTACTATAAAAGAAAAATAAGCAAACTAGATAGACTAGAACCGGGGGAAAAATAATTGGTCATGCTTAAACAATAAGGCAGTACCACAAAACAAGTCTTCCGCGTTCTATACCTCTCTACACTAACTCACCAAACCAAAACCAAAACAAAAAAACATACTGTTCAACACGTCTTTCCCCATCCTAAAAACCACACACCGCTCAACTGTCTCCGTTCCCCATATCCGATCTCTCAGGGCCCCCCGTCTCGTCTTCCCCTTTTAAATGCCTCCCACCTCATCTACTTAATTAATTGGCAACACCTGGGAAAAGAGGAGAAAGCAATTAGAAAAAAAAGAATAACACTACAACCAAGGACCGTAACAGTCACACAGTCTTTGAAGCTGGCAATCCCATGAGCCAGCAGTGCAAGAAAACCGGTCAGGGTCACTGGCTTGGCGGACAGTGGCCGTGCAGCGCCAGGGTGGTATGTGCGACACAAGGTACTGCCTGTTTCGGGTAGAACCACAGAGCCCTTTCCAGCACGTTTGACTTTCTGCGTTTTTCATGCATCTTCTGGTGAAGAATGAGCACCTGTGGCAGAGTGAGCTCCTCTCTCCCGTGAAGGCCAGAGAGATGTTCAATTCAATTCAATTTATTTTCATACAGCGCTTTTCACAACAAGGTTGCCCCAAGGTGCTTAACAAAGCAA